CCTTATTGTTTTTCTTATCTCAGCCATTTTAGGTAAGTGACGCATCTCTTTTTGATTTGTCCAATTTGCGCTGGTCAGTTTTTCAAGAATCGCTATCGGGCTGTAATCTTTTTGATATGCGAAACGACATGCGTGTAATTTATTTTAAGCTCTTTATTGGGAACCCAACTTCCCCGTTTTTATTCTTTATCTTGCTGTGAGTTTTGTGGGACTTGTCATTCATTCTGTTTGTATGTTAACCCTCTCCATTGCTCATGCGATTCGCAAGGCTTATTGTTGCTGCGCCTATTTGCATGCCCAACAAATTGAAATTGTCAAAGACGTGCAAATAGAGACGGATAAAAGTTGGTCGAAAGAAGAAGTTTCCAGCTCAAAACTTCCAACGTTTTGTTTACTTGAAGCAATGAACTGCAGCTAAGTGGATGGCAAGTGTTTATATTTGCCAAAAATTAAATTAATTTCTACGCAAAAGAAGTGGGGGTGTTGGATGACAGAACAGTTAATGAATGAATGAATGAATGAATGAATGCCTTGCAATATTCATCTGTTGTGGCCATTAACGGGGGCCCGAAAGAAATCAGGCAAAGTATGTGCTTAAAGCCCAAAGCTAAGCCGGAAAAGTTTTGGCCCCAAAAAAGCAGAATGCGATGGGAGTGTGGGATGCCACCGGCGACATGCAATGAATATCAACAGATTTTTATGAGCCACACATGTTTAGGTCTCGCGGTGTCTCTTTCTGTTCCCCCCCTTTCGCCATCTCTTTCTGGCTTTTCCTTGGCTTTTTCCACCCTCTGCTCAAGAAGTAGCGAATCCCCCGACTGTCCATGACAGAGATAATGATTAGTGTGATGTGCATAATAATCATTCTCATATTCCACGATTAGTTTCCAATTCATATGCGTCTGCCTCGCTTCCCTCTCTTTCTTTCCCTTTCCACCCTCTTTCTCTTTCACACTCACGCACACAGCCTGTTGCCATCTCTTTCGCCTTCTTGGTCACTTATCCACCTTGTATGTGTCTTATGCGTCGAGTACAGGAAAAAGTCCTTAAGGCGAACTATTACCAGCTTCAATTCAAAGGAAAAACTTTTTAAATATTATTTTTAAATTCAATATTTTAGTCAGACCTTCTCCAAGTAAATTGTTATTCGGACTATCATTTTTTTTATAAAGCCAGAAAGGATTGACCTTATCATAAAATACCTTTTGTAAAATTCAACTTTTTTTTCAATATTTTATATGTAACAAAATAAAAACTAGAAACAATTGCGAATTATAAAAACAAAATCAGTAAATTGTTTTTGGGTTATCATATCGAGATTATAATATTATTTTTTCTGTAAAATTTAATTTACTTATTTTAAATATATTCAATAATGTTTCAAACTTTTTTGCAAAAGCATACATGATATGTTTAAAAGACAGAAGTTAAAATTCCATTCAAAGATAAATAAAGTTCAGTCTTTTAATAACACCTGTTCCACTTACAGTGGGGCCACTGTACCTCTTTCCAGCCTTTGTTTTTGTTACTTTTCGGCGGGGTAACAGGCAACAGAAATATTACCACGTAAATTATTAATCAGCCGAATGGGCCACCCCCTGCCATTCGAAACCCCGGCGTAGCATAAGTTTCCGTCGATTTGTCTGTTACTTAACATGCATAAAATGTTTCCATGAATACATCAAAATATTTTCGCTTTGGCAGCAGCCACATCCAGCAGTAGCATTAACCATGGCCCCCAACCTGCTGGTTTTGGCCATTGGCTTAAGCTGGAAAGTGTCGTCTTGTCTGCTTGGCGATTCCGACTGCGAGCGCATATTGTGCTTGTTTTTTGAGCAATTTGCTTTGTGATTTTATGCACTTTATGATTTCCTTAATGGCACAGTCGGTCGCCAGTTGCCAGTTGCCAGTTGAGTAGGTGGCTATCCCAGAGGTCTGTATCTCTGAGATACGTACTTAAAGTGCTGTTATTGATGGCCAATACGGACAAGCGCCTCACTGGAGTCGTAGATTGGTAGCTGGTTTATATACAGAACAAGTAATTCGGTTTTCTCACAGCTTTAATGCTTGTTTTCTTGGTTAGCGTGTATAGAAAATATACAACTAAATAACCTCATATGTATAAACACACGGAATTTATAGATCTCATATTTTGCAATCTGTAAATCGCTTTTATAAATGCTAACAATAAAATGGTTAAATGTCTGTAGTTTCTTGATTAAATCTATAGAAAGAAGTACTTGTCAATATATTTTCCGATTTTTTAAATTTGAAAATCGTCTTCAGAATTAATCACATCATATATATCTGATTGGTGACATGTTTAGTACCGAACAAACAGTTTGATCTACCCCAGAACATCCCATGACTGCACTTAATCTGCAAGTCTGCCGCCGTAATTGTTTCTCCCGAAACTCCAGAGAGCGCTCAATGCTGGCCCCCACAGACACACCTGTAATTAAGGCCAGGTGGACTTTCGAGCCCTACAAGTGCCCCCCAAACATGGGTAAACTCAGACCGACAAACATAAATTTCCATTACAATTGCACAAACGTCACATTAGACGCTATCAAAGCGCAATTTGCAGCGTCTACTAAATCAATAAGCCAAACTTGGCAACCTAACGGATACGCACACGCATACGCATACGCATTCGCATACGCATACGCATACGCACATTAGCATGCACATACACATGTGTGTTTCGGCCAAGAGCACTTTGCATGCAAACCTACCAGCAAACATAATAAATTGTAACGCGCTTTACATTAACATTTACATAATCGCAATTAATCGACAACATTTCGGGCCGTATGCGTTGGAGATCCAGCTCGAATCCCGTCGCCAGTTTATGCTCCAATCAATATTAATAACCATTGCACTGGGCCCCCATTTTGGTCCCCCCCTCTACATATCTATTTATACAGCCCACCGATAATGGACAATTTGGCGCGACGACTGCTGCCCCTAACTTGGCCCGAACTTCGGGTAGAGCTTTTGGTGGCATAAACTGTGCCATTTACGGATTTGTGTGACTTCCGCCAGCCGTCGGCAGTTGGAGTTCTCGGTTTCTGGGGATCGGGAACTGGGGTCTGGGTTCTGCGAACTGAGAACTGAGAACTGGGAAATCCAAGCAGAGAACTTTTGAACGGAGATGTCAAATTGTCAACGCACCTTTGCCTTCTACTAATCTCAATGCATATGTGTTTAAGTACAGGCGAAATTCCGTAAAACCAACATAATTTAAGAACTAATATTGGAAAATATTTAAGTGATTCTTTTTTGATGTTTTCCAATTAATTTTTTGTTTTGTTTAACAAGTTTTACAGATCAGCTAAAATGTTTTTTTTTTTTTTAATTATTTTTCTTTGGATTGATTCAACTAATTATAGGGCTAATAAAAGAGCTAAATGTATATAATTTTTTAGATGAATCAAAACAAGAAATAATTTGACCTGAAATTTAAGTCACTTTTACCTTCCATATTTTCTAACCATTTTTGGGAAGATAAGAGCCTTACATATTTATGTATAAGTAATAATTAAAAATGTAATACAACTAAAATAGTTTTAAATTTGATAACAACTTAACCTGTATTTTATAAAATTCATGTTAGTTTTAGCTGTACTTTGCAGATAAAATTTTACGGAATATATATAAAATTTGCATTAAGAAGAGTTTAATTTACATAATCACGACTGTTGGTATGTTTCAGTGTCTTTGTGGGTTGCTATTGTTGCTAGTTTATTTGCAATTATGCCAGCTGCCTGCACATTACACGCTTGTCATAATTCTGCCGGCAGTCGTATACGCAATGTGATTGTCAATTATTGGACCAGGAAAAGCATACATATTTTAGTAGGGCTTTTGGCCAGTTTAGGCTAATTAGCTAAATGATAGGAATTTATTGTCCTAGTCGGAATAAAATGTTATACCGCTTTTAGCTAACATAGCGGCCAATATCGTAGATGTATAACAGTCTTTATTAAGGTAAAACCCAAAAGCAATTTTTAAAATATATTTTCATAAATTAAAATTGTTAACATTTTATTATATTAGTTATATATTATTTGAATCATGATTTTTATTTAATTAATTTGCAATAGCTTACCCGAATTTCTTGATTATAAGTTTAAAAAACGCACAATTTGAAAGAGAGTTTTTTCTGAAAGAGAATATCCGCTCTCTTTGCTCCCTTAACAAACACGTCGTTAACAGTATCTCTTCGCTAACAGTATATTTTCGTTGACAGTATCTCGTCTTTCGCCTAACATAGCTTCGTTAAGTTTTAACGGTGGCCTGCGCTGAGTTGAATTAAAAATAATGTTGGCGCCAAAGCAAAGACTTATAGCCTAATAAAAACGAATTGCATTGAAAAAACAAAGTTATATTTATTTAAGATATATGTACATACAAATTAACTTCGAAAAATGTTTTATAAATATATAACTACAAGAATTTACCGTTTCGTTTTCGTTTACAAATACGTCTTAGCTTTGCCTTAAAACAAGTTTAAATATAAATAAGTTTATGTTTCAGTTAAGTGCCTATTTTCAATTTTTAATTGCTTTTTGAAAACAGTTGCTTAAGCTTAAAAATTGTTGTTGAAATAGTCTTAGCTTATATATTATCTTATTTGATCTGCTACTATAATGCTGTTGTTTTTGCTATGAATTTTAAAACTAGCTAAACAAAATATTGTCAAAATTAGTTTTAAGACTGTATATAACATATTACAAATAATCAAAGTCTTTTGACCATAAAAAGTTTTCTTAACAACTAACGAATAACAAGCGACTTTTATATATATAAAAGCCCATTAAAAACCCCCTGAAAACTGTTGTAAATCGTCACCAATTGCATTTGTTCATCTCTCAATCCATCAGATGCACTTAACATTTCGCTTAACATTTCGTTGCCGAGTGCATAATGTTACGCTAACAGTGACTGCGAGTATCTGTGTGAGCATAGTTCGCCTTACAGGCGCTTAACAGTCAAATTTCAGACGTCGAAGCGAAAAGACGCGTTTTTCTCGCCCTCTTTTTGCCGGTTATTCGGTTACTTGCAGTTATCGGAAGAATCTTAACAATCGCACTGATATTTATTTTGGCCGAAAGCAAAAAATACCACAAACCGCATATCCGCATTTTCGAAAGATACGAAAGAAAACCTCACGGATTGCGATTTTGTTTATTTGCCGTGGGTGCGTGAGTGTGCGTGTGAGCAGTATCTGTGTGAGCAGCGCGTGTAAACAAAAAAACGAGCGTTGTATCTTCGGCTCTGATAAGCTGACAAGTTTGATAAAAAGCCACGAAAACACAAGTGCTACTACTATTTCTGTTGAATGGAAATCCAAACAAATCGCCGGCAAGTGGAAAAAGTGAAATTCAAGATACAACTGTAAATACAGCGGAATTATTGGAAAATATACACATAATATCGGCTGGCGATATCGCTGCAAATTAAAGCCGTGAAAAATTCGCTGAAAACAACAACAGCAACAACAACACGCAATTATTGTGTGTAAAAATATACGACTAAGTTCTTATCGGTGTGCGATCGTTGTTGTTATTATTGTTCTATATGCTGGTTAGTTGAGTTGTTGTTATTTTTGCCTTAGCCGGCGTCGATGTCTCGGTGTTAGTGTGTCGGTGTGTTTGTGTGCAAACGAGTTTGCAAAAAAAGAAAAAAAAATAAAGTAAAAAAATATATTGCAGTTACGGTGGCAAGTGTTGCAGATACACCAGCAACAACAACAGCGGCACCAGCGACAGCAGCAACAACAAGTTAGCCAGGTATGATGGCCCAAAAGGAAAATCGCAAGAAAATGCATACGAAAAGCCAAAGAAAAAACCGAAATTGAAAGCTCATTAACTTGTGAGTGCGAAGTGCGGCTTTGATTTACCGCTATCCGGCAGACAAGTGCAATTTTTAGCACGTCCGTTGTGAATCACAAGCCAACCCCCGTCACTCTCTATAATTTTCTATGATTAATAGAAGCTTTAAGACTGTGTACAGTAAAAAAAAACAATACAACTATATTTTTGTTATCCAAACAATGTTATACTTATCAGAGGGTTCTTAATTTATTTAACTCTCAAACAATGATTTCAGCTAGTGACATTTTTAGATAAGTCAAGAGCGTCAATGCAGTAATATATATATATTATCGACCTTAAACAGTGCACTCCCGATATAATTGTTATTCAACTAACAATTATTATTTAAAGAGAACATATTTTATTACTAGATATTGGCATATTTTTCATTAAAAATTAATCTGCTTCTAACTCACTAAAAATATACAAGTTCTTATCCAGTTTTACAACTGAGTCAAAAGTTTTTTTTACTGTTTTTTATACACTTGTCTGGAATAAGCATTCTTTATGAATCACTTATAACTAAATTTTAATACCCAAACCAAGCTAAATATTGCCCAGAAAAATATGCAAAACATTGTTTTGATATGTTAAAAATATTCCTTTGTCATGCTAAATTTATCACTTGCTTTCCTAAGAACATTTGTGTATGAGCTTAAAAAACTCAAGTGATAAAGAGTTTTTATGATATTTTTCCCTCCGTGCAGTCACTTGCCTACACTCATCGCTCGCCACAGGCCAAAATCGAGACGTCTAATCGGTTCCGTTCCAGATTCTCGTACTGTGACTATTATTACAGCGAAATATTTTCAGCTGGCGATGCAGATACATTTGCATCGATGGGATCACGTAGTCGGGTTCTGATTCATGCAAAGTCTGGGTAGTATTCAATTTGAAATGCGGTTGACTCGCCGGCGCCGCCACCAATAATCGTATAAATATGAATAGCCAAAGAAAATACTAGTACATACATTAATGGCAATGTAGATGGGTGTGTATATGTATATTTGCTGGCGAATCGAACAGGCAATGCACTTGTTTTGCGATTAATTCGTATCGCTTTCAGCTCGACTTGCACTGGTTTCCCCTTACACTTTTAGCCGAATGTCAACACACAACTGGAGGGGCACAGGTTGTCACAGGTTTTCTTGGTACACTAAATATTTACAGATAGCTTCACTTTGTAATCCAATTACTCAGTGCTGAGTGTTGGAAGATTGGCGTAATAAACATAGATGAGGAAGGGGGCAGCGAAAAGAATGTGGTTAATACCCGTTAATGGTTTTCCAAATCACTCTCGCCTGGGAAACGACAATTCTGGGAGGACTTAGGCTTATTTATGGGTCCAGACCCAATTAAAGGGGATGCCACATGTGCCGGGGCGGCCGAAAATAAAGTGCCCCCGTCGAAATGTCGCCTTGAGTTATATGCGGCGGGGTCTTTATTAATATTTATTTGGCTGTACGAAAATAAAATAGAGAACATAAATAACGCTTTGTTTATAAACACACAAGCAGTTTGCCAACTAGAAATAAATGATGCTAGCGGCACAACAACAACAACAACGATAACAACAACACTAAGAACATTTCTTCTTTTGTTTTATCATCTGCCTTCCAGCAGTTTTGCCCTCTCCTTCCGTCTCCGATTTGGATTTACTTGTTATTTTGCTGGTCAATTTGTGTAAAATGGGGAAATGGTAAGGAAATCTCTTGACAGAATTTCCGAACTTCCTTTTGCGGTGGCATAACGTGCATATCCCTGCCAACAGGTACAAATCCGGAGCAACATTTTTGTCTTAATATGAATTAATTGCTGGCAACCGCAAAGAAGCCGCAGGAAAATGTCGAACTCTGGCTCCTTCTCAAAAATGTAAGCCAAGTCTGTGGCTGTGCAGATAGAAAAACTTGGTATTTGCCTTTTGAATTTTATATCATAAACTCCAATTTCAATTAAATAATAAATGGAAATTTAAAAGCCTACACAATATGGCTTTAATAAGTTAACTTTAGTGAATATTTAAAATTGCAATGCATTAGAATATTAAAATTAATATTAAAGCATTTATGACAGCATAGTTAATATTTTTGATTGAGTAATAAATTGGTAAGAACAATTTGTTGAATGTGTTATTAAAATTTTAAATTTATGAATTTAAGGCATATCAGTGGTATAATTCAGTAAAATCAATTAAACTTCTTTAAGCAACTGTGTTACAAGAATTGGAAATACGTATTGTTCTGCCACAAAATTGGGTCTACATTTTCGAATTTCTTATTTTTTTTTTTGGTGTAATATGAGGTAGGGCCTCGTTTGTCGAATTTGGTTGCCTGTGTTCAATGTTTTCAATGTCAATCCGCGTGTAACCGCAACAGCAGAAATGGAAATGGGATTTTCTAATTGAGAATGCGTGTGCCTGCCATTCCTAAAGGAAAATTCCCACTCGAATTGGAATGTAAACAAAATACGATATAAAAATAGACAAGCCATGAACATTTCCCCTTTCATTTCGCTTGGTCTTTCTCTGGAGCAATTCACGTGTGAAATGAACAAAGTGTTGATTTGTTTCTGGGCTATATTCGACTCCGACTATGACTACGAGTAAGGGTATGGGTATGGGTATGGGTATATGTGGGTGAGTGAACGGCGGAGGATGGGAGATAATACGAGCAGGAAATAATACAATGTGAGAAGAGCTTGTCCCCTTTTGCGTAGGAGCAGGCAAATCAAGTTCGGGAATGAAATTCATTTCAATTCGGTTTGGTTCGTGGTGCTGTTGCTGTTGCCATGTCATGGTGCACAGTAAGAAAATATCAGCAACATTTTATTTATTTAAAATATACATTTGGAGAAAAATTTGGGGTCTCAATTCTTAAATCTTCTTTAAATAGCTTAGATCTAATAATGTAAAAACATTAGGAATAAGATATGTGAGAAACTTGTGATTACTCTTCCATGTAGCCACTTGTACTTAAATAAAATATAAATCTGTATAAGTTATGATTTTCTCTCTGTGTGGCTGTCCCCAAGCCGAAGAAATGGAAGATGAGAAGCATCTACAAAATCTCACAAATGCAGGCAAAGACCCGTTGGACTGCTGATGACGTTTTCACTGTCTATTGTTGTTGTTGCCGCTGATGTTGCTGTGGTGTCTGCTGGTGTTGCTGTTGTTGCTGTTGGTGTTGCTGCTGCTGTCGGCTGAGTGAATCCGAGTCCAAGTCGCAAGTCTGGCTGCCCGTTAAGGTCGTTGCGATGTGGTTCTTATTCTGTTTCTGTTTCTGATGTGCAGCAACAACAATCAGCGGCAGCAACATCTACAGCAGCAACTTGGAGGGATCCCGCGCTTTCTTAGCGCTTAAAATTCCGTTTCGAAAATGGAAAACAAAACAAAAACAAACTGCTCGAGTCTCCACCTCCCGACTCCAATTGCGACTCCAAACTCGCAGCCAAATCAACTTGAGCGGTGAAGTGGCCACGCAGCAACAGCAGCATCAGCAGCAGCAACATCACAAAACCAGCAACAGCAGCAACATGAGGGAAAAGGAAGGAAAGAAAAAAAATTAAAATTAAAACGCACGTAGGCAGAGAAGATGGAAGAATCGAGGGGAAGTTAACGTTGTTGTCTGCCCTCGTGGCGCGTTAAGTTGTTGATTGAAGGGTATTTGAGTAAAGTATCTTTACGTGTGTCTGCCATGGATGTTGCTGCTGCTGCTGTTGCTGTTGCAATCATAAATGCAGCTGGGTGGAGCGGATCGGCCATAGAGATTCTGGGGGAGAAAAGTCTGGCTTATGTGGGTTTAGGTTTAGGTTTAGGTTTTTCGGGCTTGTGGGCTGGGATTTTTTCTTGTTATTGTGGACCCGCGGCAAACTTAATGAGCAGCTGTACAGAGCACGCTCCTTTATTTGATTTCACTTGAGCGATAAGGCCCGGAAACTGGGTTACCAGTTAATTAGACCAAACAACAGTCATTCCGGCCAGACGCAAAACTCAAAGTTCAATATGAAAAGCGTATCGAGTTTCAAGCGAAATGCGAGCCATCCGCTCATTTCATGCTCAGCCAAACCCTTTGCTTGGCCAAGGGCCAAAAACACACACCAGACTGGACCCAAAACTGTACCCCAGACATAACTTTTTGTTTTGGCTCGTTTATCCACTCCACTCCGCTCCTCTTCTATTTTCCTTCCTATTTTTTTTATACATATAATACAAACTTGTAAAAACGTCAAGCGATAAAAATGTTCGATAATCAAAATGAAAACGACCGACAGGGGATCGAAGTGGGGGCGATTGGATGGCTAACAATAAAACAGGAAGAGTTCAGAGCGCAGGACAAGTGTGTGAAAGGTTCGGGATGAAAATGCCTTCGAATGCTGCTGGAAAATCAATAAGCCATGCTTATTGTCAAAGACCAGGGAACCCACCGGCCAACAAAGCGAATAGAACAGAACAGAACAGAAATGATATGGCTGGCAGACACACAGAGACACATGGGCCAGAGTCAAGAACATAAAAATGCCATTGACTGTGGCCCCTCGTCTGTGATTGTGATAGGCTACAGAGAGAAAAATGGACAGGATTTTCTTACTTAATAAGAATAGCTAACACTAGGAACATTATCTAAGAAGATATGATTGCTGGCAAAGTTGAATTAGTTCAGCTTTTCTAAAATAAACTTGTTATATATAAAACAAATTACAAAATTAAATTCAGGCCTTACAATAATTGTTCTTATTAGAAAAGCTTTGTTAAAGTATAGTCAAACAAGTATGGTTTTAAATCAATCTACTTTGAAATAGTAAAAACTTCCGCTAGCAAAGTTAATTTAGATTTCTAAAAAAAAACATTAAATTATATGTGCTTCTTTTAATTTTTAAAATAATTTGTCATAAAAATAGACAACAAATGGTTGCCGTTTTATGTATTTTAATGATTCAATTTAATGCAGGCCCCACACTCATTTGTAATATGAGAAAGAGGTTGCTTTAAGTATGATTTAAAATCAACCTATTTTGAAGTAGTAAAAAACTTCACTACCATACATTTTCCTTTTGTGTAGAACAAAATAGAAAAGATATAGTCTGCAGTCTGGTTTTTCTATCAACCGGCGACACTCGTTTTCCCTTCACATAATTCTCCCACTGCCAGTTGAGTAATGAAAGTTGCTTTTACCCTGGCCAGCACAACTGCATTGCAAAGTTCTAATTTGGCCAGAAAAAGAGAGGGAAACCGCTGCCGCATGCAGCAACAAAAACAAAACTGTACCAAAAACAACATTGAAAAACAAAATACAAGAAAATAATCAAAAAAAAAAGTCAAAAGCGCACACGGACGGGACGGTCAACGAATTTGGGTTCGGCTTTGGTGGTTCTTTTTCAGTTAACACGAAAACGTTGTGAAAGAGCCCGGCTCAAACAACAACAAGAAACAGGTAGTAAAAATCGACAACAGACCGGGTTTACACGGGTATATATATATATATATATATATATATATGTGGGTATCCATGTATGCATGTGTATTTGTGTGAGGAGTGAGGGACAACGCTTAGAAATTAAAGAAAAACACAGGCCTAGGCTGAGTTGTGGCCGAAAACCCAGGTCCGTGGCTCAAAACCGAGCCCCTGTTGACTATCATAATAATAAAATTCGAGCCCCGAACACCGCCGAATGCATGGCCATGCCGCATATTCGGTATGAGCAGTGTGAGTGTGTTTCAAATTGGGGTTACTGACCCAAAACTGTGTTTTGATAGTGAAAAAGTGTTGAGCTTGGCTAAAACGATCCGAAACCGATATGAAAATGTACACAGGCAAGAGAAGCTAGCTGGGAAAATGAACTTTGCATAGTTCCTAAAAAAAAGCGAGAAAAAAGAAGAGAATTAATAATTCTTGGGCTTGATGAGTCGGCGAAAATGATTGGGAAAAGGCGGATTACGAAAATGGAGCGAATTGCCTAAAACAAAATTGGGGTTAAACAACAACCATCACAAATACGACTTTGATTAATGTTTATATTTGCACTTTTTTTTTTCTTATTTGCAGAAACCAACACACAACCAGCCACAGAAATATTCGGATGCATTCACAAATGAGTAGAGATAAATTAAATCCAATTGAAAGTGCTGAAATAAAATAAATTTTAAATAAATAAGAAACCACAATAAATAACGAGCGTGTGCAAAGTGTAGATCAATACAAATTAGCTATATAATACCCCAAATATAGGCCAATATCCCAACGCGAGTGCTAAAATGCTGTCCGTCGCAGCATCGGTCATCGTCGGGATGCATAAATCTCTCTAAAATCAAAATTAAACCAATCAAAATAGCCTAACTAGCATAGTAAATCAAATCAAAATTGCATCAAAAGCAACCTCAAATTGTTGGCCCCTCAACAGTTTGAGCAAATAAATTCTTCGGCCCCATCAAACATTAAACAACGGCCTCAAAACGGAGTCCCTAGAGCTTTTGCGCAGCGAGGGAGAGAATTTCGAGATGGATATTTTACCGAGTGGCAATATCTTCAACGAGCTGGAGTGGATTTGCACCACCGGCTATTTCTCATCGCAGCCGTCGATCGAGGATCAATGGCAACAGGTTGGTACTATTCAACATTATATAGCAAAACATCAAATAAAAATAAAAAACAAACAACATAAAATGCACCAGTTAATAACCAATCAGAATATTCTAAATAAGAGTACAATCATCTATCAGACTCACACTATTTATCTATGTTCACTTTTAAATTTCTTACCAATTAACAGATTAAGAACAACTAAAATTAAAGTTTCTTTAACAGAATATACAAAATGGTTATTTAATACTCAAACAAATATAAAGCCCTAAGTCATATATCACATACTTTTAAACTTAAATGTTTGGACACGCTTAAAATTCACTTAAATCTCAAACTTTTCAGAATATATATAGTGACCCCTATTTGATTTAAAATTATTTTTGAGCATTCCCATTGTGTTTCGTTGTGGCTTTTAGACCCATGAACATAAATCAAATTTCTTTCCCTTTCCACTGTCCTCTATAATAATAATTCCTCCAGTTGACGTCACCCCTTAGTTTGGTATGTTATTTATTTAGCATTTAGGCATTTATCATAGACTCAACTACTTAGACGAGTCAGCGGTATTTTATCGAAGTATTAACCGACTTTATGCGGACTTCCTTGGAGGGTATTGCGCAATCGAATATTATGAATTTCTCAACGGCCTGGAAAGCATTTCTCTGTGTGCCTGATCTTTTGTTTGCTTCTTTGGCCAATAAAAAGTGAATGAAAAGAAACCGTTTCAAGGTCCCACACTCGAGTTGAGTTTACCTGAACGAGCGTGAGCTAAAATTAAATTGCTAAAAATTATAAACTCTTGATAAGCGAATATGTGTGCGCAGCGCTAATATATATATAGGGTATATATGTTATATGTTTGCAAAAAGCGAACAAGAGGAAGAGGTCATAAATAAGTAAATTTCGCCAGCAGTCAGCGACCAGCGTCGGTTATCATCTGAGGGCATGCATAATATATATACTAAATACATAGCATGTATACTTATACATTTTGCGAATTTTTTTCGCACACTTAATATGCATACATGTGTACAGTGTGTATGTGTATGTGTACGTTTGTTTGTGGGGGGCTCTTCTGTGTTCTGTTTGGCTTGTATTTTATTTTATTTATTATTTTCTTTTGGCCTTTTTGGTCGCCTCTGATAAAACGAATCGAAGTTGCCGCCAGCTGATTGCAGACAGCTTTGTTGGCTGCCTCGTTTTGTTTTTTTGTTTTTTGTTTTTTGTTTTTCGTTTTATTATTGTTAAGAAATGCCCGGGGCATATTCTTGTTGGTCTGGTGTTATCAAAAACCTGACGCATAAGAAGATTGTGTTTCTGCTTTCGTTGTCGGTGTCGCTCTCAGTTTCTCTTTTTTTTTTTGTTTGCCCATCAAACGCAAAGTCGTAATTCATTCGGCAAGGGAAATCTGCGATAAAACAGAGGACTCTTCGCCAGAGGCTGCTCCTCCTTATATTTTATATCTCATATCTCATACCAATCCATCCAAACCTGACTACCGTTTTCAGCTTCGCACCAATTTAAAGATACTTTTCACACCTCCAGTTTATTTGTTTAGTCTATACACACACACACAACACACATTTGATTTATTTAATTCATTTGCTGCATGCCTCAGTTGAAACCTCAACTACAAGTGCCAGTCGAAATTCCAAGAATTTGCCAAAAAATAGATTTTCTAAATCAAAATATTCCCCAGCAAATTTTAAACTAAAATTAGTAATTCGCTTCGATTTTCATTTGGCCATCAACTTTAGCTGCTGACCACACACAAACACACACGCACTCGCCAAAAAAAATATCTTAAGTCAAATTTGGTTTAAGTGTTATTACCGCATAGAGCCAAAAAAATGAACTAATCTTATCGTCAGCTAAATTTGGCGCTGTGTTGTACACGAATTTCACTGAATTTAAATTCCTTTCGCTCTGTTTTCTGCCGCACACGGCAATTAAGCCAAAGTTCCTGTTCGAGTTGGGCGCTCAGTCTGAGTTCGAAATGAATTCGCCGTCTGAATTGGGAGTCGCAGTTGAAGACGCAATGCACTCGTTTCATTTGCACAACTTAAAAACTTTTAATTGAACTCGAGTACACATTTTTGCATAACTTTTCGTCGGGGGTTGACGTTTTTTGGTTTTGGCTGCTCGCCGAGTTGAAGTGCTTTCGGATACCCTGATAAAAAAAAAAACACTGACATCTTTATGCCAAGAAAAGTCTGAAATTCAAACGAATTTTATAGTTCACTATTTGGAATTTTTATTTTACGATAGGCTTTTCATATCAAATAGCTTGTTGTTTTTTGTAAAGCAAACATTGACAAAACATAAAATATTTTTGAGGATTTTGTAGTTTGTCAATAAAGTAAACCGAAATACAAACGCTTAGAAAATTTTACAAAGAAACTTTCAATAATTAGTGAAATTTTAGTGGGACAAAAAAATGTTATTGATTAATATCTATAATAGGCAAAACCTTGATTTATTAATAATGTTTAAATACTAACATAAATAATATTTTATTTATTTTCCAGTAGAGCATTTCCCACACCGTTTTCAACTATGCTCGATTCATTTAAGCGTTTCATTTCTTCGGTTAAATTTGATTCGGGGTTAAAAACTTTAAATTGCAGCATTTAATAAAAGTTTCGGCGGGACATGGCAGGTGGGTGCGGGAAGAAATTTGTAATGGAACTTTCTCCACAGCCCTGCCCCTACCCCTTTCCTTTCCCCATCCCCTCCTCCTCATTGTATCTGTATCTGTGTTGGGTGCCTTTTGTAATTAGAACTTGCGGATGTTTTGTTTATTTCCGTTGACTTCCGCCTGCTTCCGATGCGGCGGCTGCGTTTTGCTGTTGCTTATTGTTTTATTGTAATTGTTGTGGAGGGGCTGCTATGTTATGCATATAATGCGTAATTCGGTTCGTCACTCAGTCAGTTAGTCAGTCAGTCAGTCAGTCGGTCGGTCGAACACTTGTGTCTCATCGTTTGAACAGCTGCTGGATCACAATTGTTGCTGATGGCGGTGGCAAAAACAAACAAAGACGCCGCATCGCATCTGCATATGTATTATGAATTTACATACGTATTACGTATCTGCTGGAGCTGTATCTGTATCTGTATTTATTTCTTGGGCTCTCCGGGGCTGTTTATCTAAGCTGTGAAATTATGCTGCACACTCAAAACAATTTGAAAGCGCAGAGAAAGCAGAAATATGCTAACAAAAATAAATACAGAAAAGGAAGGCATACGGATACGGATAAGGAATGGAATGGTATTTGGTTTTTACTCTTAATTTATTTCATATGCTGCAGATTGATTTCAATTCGCCCCGGAATGTTGTTCTTTCATTTCTGTTTAAACACCAGAACAAAAACGGGGAAATGGATTTTCATTTGCTTGCCCAGCGTGTGAAACTAAAGTGGGGGAGGGGCTTGGCATTGGGATTGCCAATCTATTTGTGATTAATTTCATTTATAGAATTTGGCGATTTGCATGTTGTTATAGAATATTGGTTTTAATTCAAGCGTCTAAGCGGATTCGATTGGATTTTCGTTTGGTTATCAATGTCCATTGATGTGGCTTTATCGCATCGCCACATTTGCCACATTTGCCACATTTTGTTGCGCTTACCCAACTGCGGTGGCCATTTAATGTATTTAAATTATTTCAAATTAAGCCGCTTTTGCATGCTAAATAAAAATGAGTTTATGTATTACATTATTTCATGTCCATTTGTTTTGTAAGAGGGGTTGATGGAATAGAAATCCCGCACAAGTGCCGAAATCAGCGACGACAAGCTCTTACCACCGCGCAGACAATATGCAATCAGCAGTTAACATTTAGCACACGCAAAAACGTAACAAAACCTAAAATGGCACGTACACACACACACACATTCACGCACATCCGTGCAAAAAGATTGGCAAAAAATGAGCGAATGGCAAAAAAGTAAGAGAAATGCCCCCGAAAACGATGCTGCCATTGGGAAATTCATGAAGACAGATGCACAAACACACATAGACTTACACCTAATAAGCCAAAAGCAGAGTGACACACTCACACACACCCACTTCATTGATTACACTGACAGAAAAGTCAGTCATAAGTCACTGTATTAGTTTAAAAATCAAGACAAATTCTAGTCAACCAATTTTGGGATACATTTATATTCCTTACTATATTATGAACTTTACTGCGTGTATAAATATTTTTTCTTACAAATCTTTTTATATATATATATTTCATATTGATATTTTTTTTAGCAAACGCAATTTTAGTTTTTAGTTTCTATACTATTTTTGAAATTGAATTCTTTGTGATTTATTAATTTATTTTAATTGCTTGCAGCATTGTAATTCCCACTCATAAGTGGCTTGAAAAAGCACTTTTAAATTTAAATTTGTACACCTAAAAATATTGCTTTTCGCTCAGTGTACCACGCAGATCTTAGTCTGGCCGGGAAGCGAAGAACAGTTATTTTAGCAGAGCCAGCAAAAAAAGAGCCGAAAGAAGCAAGAAAAGGAAGTGGGAGATTTGGGCGATGTAGTTGTGGATGGGGAAATCCGAAATACGTGCAATTGCTGAAAATATGCTCGACGTGAGGGGCAAGGCAAACGTGCGGGCCAAGCGATTGTGGGCCTTAAATACTTGCCACCATGCGGCACTCCCCCTACAATTCCCCCCTCCCCACCACCCGAATTCCAACTGAGCAGCAGCTACCACGTTTGCTACTCCTATTACCCTCAATCATTTATCATCTGGGCTGCAATTAATCATCAAATGCGCGCTCTCGCATTCGCACCCACCCCAAGGAAGTCCTTTTATAGTTTTTGTGGGTTGCCCTCTGGATTTATGCTTATAATGTGGAATGCCAGAGTATGTTTATCTGGCCACCGGGGTTTGAAACGGGGAGTGTGCGTCTAGCACTGGCTACAATAGATGCTCGTATTCTCCTATTCGTATTCGTATGTGCCGCACATAGCTCACAGCTCACATTTAACTATGCGACAGCGACAGCAGT